ATGAACTCTTTCTTCCAGAAGCGGCTCTACAGAAAGTGGACCTTGTCGAGCCCCGACAGTTCGACAAAAATGAGATTGATTTCATTATGACGACTAGACGGCAACTGTTCAGTGATATCTCAGTGATCACAAGGGTCCAAGCTGGCAGCAATCACCGAATGGTTAGAGGCACACTGAACCTAAAAGTTATGTTGGAGAGGTCTCGTCTAATGAAGTCAACGTTCTATCCCCCTTGTGCTCTAGTTCAACGTCCCGAAACCTTTTAGCTCGAGTCACGAAACCGTTTTCAGTGCCTAGAAGATTGCAATACAGTGGATGATATGAATGACAAGCTCATGGAAACCGTCCATACGGTCGGAGCTAAGTTCCTCAAGACCCGCCGCGTCTTAATCTTAATCTCATGGCTGTTAGACGGGATTCACCACGAGAAAATTAAAGATCTTTAGTTTAGATTGCAATAGTATGGCATATATTCAATAGAATTCAAGAGTTTCAATTTTAGACGAAAAAACTTGAATATTTATGTTTGTTCCGTGTCGGTTACTTCCCCATACTGAATGGTAATTAAAATTGAATTCCCTTATTCTCGGAAGTCATAAAAGTTTTACATCTCTGTTAGTGGTTACCAACTTCGTACACGCTCAATAAAATGACTTCCATTAAACAGCGTTCCTGTTACGCAATTGTTTTGTACAAAAATGTAGTTACCATTAAATAGCTCTGTGTTGTTTTTTTTACCGGTAATTGTTGGGAGCACTATGCTCGAAGTTGTTGACGAGTACGTTTACCTGGGACAAATAGTCCGACTAGGTAAGTCCAACTTCGACCGAGAGGTCAATCTACGGATTCAACTCGGCTGGGCAGCGTTCGGGAAATTACGACACATCTCATCAGGTATACCTCAATCTCTGAAAACTAAAGTGTACAACCAGTGCGTGTTGCCAGTGATGACTTACGGATCTGAGACGTGGTCCTTCACCGCTGGCCGTATGAGGACGCTCAAGGTCGCTCAGCGAGCTATGGAGAGGGCTATGCTCGGAGTTTCACTGCGTGATAGACTCAGAAATGAGGATATCCGCAGTGAAACCAGAGTGACCGACATAGCCCAACGGATTAGTAAGCTGAAGTGGCAATTGGGCCGGCCATATAGCTCGAAGAACCGATAACCGATGGGGAAGAAAGGTTCTCGAGTGGCAGCCTCGTACCGGTAGGCGTATAGTGTAGGGCGACCCCCCACTAGATGGAGTGACGACCTGGTGAGACATGCAGGAAGTCGATGGATGCAGGTGGCTCAGGACCGTGCTTTGTGGCATTACTTGGGGGAGGCCTATGTTCAGCAGTGGACTTGTGAAGGGCTGTAATGATGATGATGATGATGTGTTGTTTTTTTATATACTCTAACTATTTCATTAGACTGACAGTAGAAGGGAGGCATATGTTCAGCGGTAGTATTTTTATGCCCTATATAATACTAGCATCCATAAGTACAAACAGTACTTTTATGCCCTATATAATACTACCATCTATAAGTACAAACAGTATTTTTATGCCCTATATAATACTACCATCCATAAGTACAAAGAGTATTTTCATACCCTATAAAAATACTACCGCTGAACATAGTTTCTAATTTTTTATATGTTATAATGGAAAAAGCTGGGACACGGCGCATTGCTGCTGCAGAAAAAACAATTATAGAAATATAGTTTTAAATTTGGAATAGTTATAATTTTGTTTAATTAAGAATGAGAATACAATAATTGAAATTGAATGTCAAATAAATAGTCGGTACGATAACGTAATTTAAATGTACTGTGCTTATAATCTTCGCGCAAGTGCAAGCAATAAGTTGTTGAAATTTTATCGAAGTGCATGAAATACGAACAAACATACATTGTACATATTAGAGATATAATTTCGTGCTATTGTTTCTTTGGTAATCATATTTTATTATATTATTTATATTAAGTTTACACGTTGAATATTTTCTCACATCTGTTCATTATTCTGTAAACAGTCCGCTCCTACACATGGGCTACTTCTACTGTCAAAATTAAGCGTCACGTTTAGAAAATAATTCACCATCACAGTATCAGACGTTGTACACACCTATACACGTACATTGCCCTCGTAAATCAAACGATATCTCAAATTTTATAATAATCATGTTTCTATTTGGAATGATCTGTCTAAGATAGAGTACAATAAAAGAAACATCAACTTCAACACAAGATGAGCTAAAATATAGAATATTATGACTATACGAATATTATTATTATGTGTGGGGTATCTATATAGTTTTCTCATCTGGTTGGAATGTATAAATATATAATTATAAACGAAAATGAAAGGATAAATATACATAAGTATCAATAAAATAAAATAAATACAAAAATACATAAATAAATAAAAGCCCAACCAGATGGAAGCACTCGGCAGGGGAGACCAAACGGCCAAGGGTTAGGGAGAAAGGGAAAGAAACCGGCGGACGATGCGGGCAGTATCAAGGAGCACCGCCTTCTGCATTTGAGCCCGGAGCGGTCCGTCACGGAGTCCCAGACGCCTCAGATGACCAGAGAGGCTAACTGGGATTAGCCCATTCGCAGAGACGACTACAGGAATAATTTCGGCCGGCAGACCACCCCACATGTCGGTCACCTCGTGAGCCAGGTCCAGATATTTTGATTGCTTATCTGTTTCGGCTCTCACGAGGTTCTCATCATACGGGATGGTAATATCGACCAAAAATATCCTTGACTGTGCCCGGTCCATCAGCACAATATCAGGCTTATTCGCAAGAATAGTCCTGTCTGTGATGATGGCCCGGTCCCAATAGAGCCTGGCGCGATCATTTTCGAGCACGACTTCCGGCAAGTACTTGTAATACGACAATTTCCGGTCCACGAGACCGTATTTCAGAGCGAGCTCCTGGTGTAGAATTCTTGCTACTAGGTTGTGCCTGTGCAAGTACTCAGAGTTAGAAAGCGCCGGACAACCGGAGATGACATGCCTAAGTGACTCCCCGGGATGGCGACAAGCTCGACAGACGTCGACGGTGCCATCCTTTAGGATGTATCTCCGATAGTTGTTGGTCTTAATAACCTGATCCTGTATTGCACAGACAAAACCCTCGGTTTCCCCGAAGAGGTCACCGAAACGTAGCCAGTTGAGGGAGGCAACTGTATCTACGAAGGGCTCATGTAGAGCCTTGTAGTACCTCCCGTGGAGCTCCTTCTCCTTCCATACGGTCTCCCGGTCGGAATTGTTAAGCACTGCTGGGTCCTGCCATTGCTCGTTGGCTAAAGATAGAGGGGTAAGCCCTTTATCACTAGAAATGACGTCATTATAGAATGGATCATCCGATCTCGACAAGAAGTACTGACGGAGACTGCACACTTCGCGATTATGCATGGTGAGCGCGCTCAGAAAGCCACGCCCACCATACTTTCGCGGCAAGTACAGCCTCATTACCGACGATCTCGGATGATGCATCCTATGGGACGTCATGGTAGTGCGAACTTTTCTATCCAGGGCGTTAAGCTCAGTCTGAGTCCACCTGAGTATGCCAAAGGTATACATGAGGACAGGCATGACCCAGCCGTTATATGCGTGTGTCTTATTCACACCCGACAAAAGGCTGTTAAGAACTTTGGTCAAGCGTGCATAAAACACGTTGCAAACTCACTGTTTCATACCAGCCTCATCGATACCGATGTTCTGTGACATACCCAGGTATCGGTATGTTTCAGCCTCGGAAAGGGTCTTTAAGTTGACGGGCATAGACAAGTCTATGCCCTCAGAGTTAGCAACCCTTCCCCTTTCAACATGGAGGACCGCACACTTATCCGTCCCCAGCTCCATTCTAATGGAACTGCTAAATTCAAAAGTGATGTTTAGCAGTTCCATAAGATGGGAGCGACTGGAGGCGAATAACTTGGGGTCATCCATATAGAAAAGGTGGGTCACTTTTGTCCCTCCTTTCCGTAGCTGAAATACCCTCCCGGAGCCCTCCAGTAAGGTACTGAGAGGGTTAAGAGAGAGGCAGAACCAGATTGGACTCAGACAATCGCCCTGGAAGATACCCCTTCTTATCCTTATGTGGTTCTCCGCAGCCGTCATCCGCTCACTCAGATGACAAAGGATCGTACTCCACTGCCCCATATACTGCTCGAGGAAGTCTCTAACTGTACAGTCAATCTTGTACAGCTCGAGGACCCTCTTTAGCCATGTATGGGGCACCGAGTCGAACGCCTTTCTGTAGTCTATCCAGGCGGCAGAGAAGTTCCGACGGTTGCGTTTCACCACTTTGCCTATGACCGCGTCAATGAGGAGTGGTTCCTTAGTTCCACGACCACCGCCCCGACATCCATTTTGAGAGCGTGACATCACCTGGTTTAGCTCCAGGTGACGAGTGATTCCCGCGCTCAAAATGGATGTCATTGTCTTATATATGGTGGGTAGACACGTGATGGGGCGGTATTTGCTCGGGTCTGTGGTATCCTGATCTTTAGGAACCAAGTGAGTGATTCCAGTAGTGAAGAGGCTCGGGAGTGACTTCTGGTCGAGAGCCTCTTGAAACTGTCGGGCGAGCACAGCGTGACACACTATGAACCCCTTCAGCCAGTAATGATGGAGCCCGTCGAGCCCCGGACTTTTCCAGTTCGGGGCCCTACGGACCACCTCAGCCACGTCTTCTGGCGTTATGGTGATGGGGTCCATAGGTGTAACACTCGCACCCTGGCTCGCCACAACTTCCATCCAAGGGCCCTCACTGTGGTTTACGGGCTCTGACCACAGGCCACGCCAGAATGCGATAATGTCAGCCTGATCCGGTCCTTGGCCCGCTCCACATACCTTTGGTCGCTCCAATAATTTATAGAGCCTCTTCTGATCACTCTGGAAGAGACGATTCTGGTTGAACCGCCTTGACCCCTCGGAAAATCGTCGAATCCGCTTCCCCCAAGCAGCGATCTTTTGCTTCAGGTCGTCTATGCGCTCCGTTAGTTTCTGCGTGATATCCGGCTGGGACAAACATTTGTCCCAGCAAACGCCATCCTAACGGTGCGCATAATCCTCGGTCTATTATTACCCGACCTGAGGCTTGTCAGTCTGCCGATAAGGGCCCTTGCCTTTGCGATACGGTCCTCGATTCTTTTCCTCCAAGCTGGGATGGCGTTAGTTTGTGTAGTAGCGCGTCCAGCCGTGGGAAGTTTGGCGCCAATAATACGGCAAACTGCCACTGCGGCGCCAAAGAGAATCGAGTCCGTCTCGCAAAGGTCCCGGCTGGCTTCCAAATAGGTCACCAGCATTGGGTTAAGAGCCCTCTCGACAGCCCGATTTCGCTTGCTTAAGGGTATGCGGGGAAGTCGCGGTCGATTTTCGAGAGGGGTGCTGCGCGTTTCCAAAATCGCCTCTTCCAATATACTCCTCATTTGCTCTAGTTCGTGGGAGACTATTTCATCGTCGTTCGAATCAACCACAACTGGAAGATCCATGGCGGCTTCCACGTGTGGATGCTGGTCTGTCGAATGTGGGGCTGCATCTCCAGCCATAGCCGATTCATTTGACGACGGAATAGCCTCACGGAATAGCCTTATTATTATTATTATTAGTCTCGCTGGGTTTCTTGCTGGTTCTTTCCAGGACAGAGGTTTTTATTTGCGAACCAGTGGTAAATGAAAAAATTGATTTTTAATAAGTTTTGTTTATAATCTACATTGAATAAAAAAGTTTCTGTTTCTGTTTCTGTTTATATAATATTGATAACCATTTATTACTTTTAAGGGGAAATATAACCTAAAATGGCTTAGCAAGATTCTCCGTTATGCCGAAAGTATTGCAGTATTAATTTTGAAATAAATATATGGTAAATTTGAGGATTAATGTTAAGGACTATGTTAGACGAAAACACGATTCCGTAAAATTTTCTCGATAGAAAAAAATCCATCAAAGTTACCTCAAAACTGAACAATAAACCACTGTTATTCATAAAATACTTTAAATAAGATCATATCAAACTTTGCATACTAACTGAACTAACTATAAATCAGTGCTTATGTTATTTACTTTTTTTAAAATACCATTATTTTCAATGTAAAAAGAAATTACCTAAACTATCAGCTTCTTGAAGCTTGATTCCTGTCGCCCGTTAGTATCGCTTAGGTTTTTGAAGGGAGAAGTTGTGTCGCTTATGATCAGAATACACATTACGTAACAGGACGACGTAAAATTAAAATGGGAAATAATCGTGATGAAAATAAGAAGCGACTGGGTTGGCGTTAAGAAACAGGCATAAATATGATAAACCTAATGAAACAAGTATCTAACGACCTATCTACTTACAGTATTAGTGATTACAAACATGTCGGTACATAGCATACGACGCGCGGGGAAGTGGAGGCGAAATTAGAATTTGAGCTGACGTACTGTATCCCCTTAATGCTGTTACAGAATAACCTCTGTCGTGGTAAAACCCAATAAGAAACATAATAGGCCAACTTTTTCAAATAGAAATTCATAGTAAAATAGGCTGTACAATCTAATATACACAAATAAATATTTGTTTGTATGTGTATGTTATAAGCATAGATAAATATAATTACGAGTACGTGTAGGAATACTATTTATCCGATTACGATGATTAAACTTTGACTCTTTAATGCACTCGCGCCCGCAAAGTTAGTTACAAAAAAGAAACAATGCAAAACATGGGTATAAACAACAGTATAGGTACTAATAAAAATGGAAAATTAACATTTTCTGTGCTTAAAGTGGAACGAGAATGGACTGAAGTTAAATTTGTTTACTTGTTTATCTTATCTTGCTTGAACAAGAATGCTATAAACGATTGGCGAAGCGGTTTAAACATTTTTAGCGATATTTACAAAGTTTATTAAAGCTCAAGGATTCTGAGGGGTGCCCTGCGTAGATTGTTTGGTGGATGTTTAAATAAGTTTGTTATAACTATTTTATTATAAAAGTTAAGTGGACACGCAACACAACTTTTCCATTTTCTAGTTTATGAAAAATGCGAAGTTATCTAACTATAGTTTGTACTAAATGTGGTTTTGCTGTCAATACAACTATTGACTTAGAAGGAATAATCAGAAACCACAACTTGTGATAACAAATCTTGGAACTACTTTATTCTATTCTTAAGATAGGACTCAACAAATAACTTTAGACGTTTTATGTCTATATACCGTCACGGTTACAAACCATTAAAGTCCACTGCTGAACATAGGCCTTACCCATAGATTGCCTCATAAGGGGGCAATTTCATTCTGTGGGTGTTGTAGAATTCGATAGTTTATCACGAATATCACGTGATCTGCGATCAAAGGTCATACGTGCAATTTAGAATATACCAGATTAATGTATTGAAGAATTACGAGTAAAGAATTTCAGAAGCAGATTTTGAGTGAGATTGATGATTCTATGGGCAGCTGTACACATTGTTGGAGCCACACGAAAGTGTGAGTAACGATCCAAGATCAAGTCTTATCCGACACTATTCCGATGATATTCCGGACGTCAGTCAGCAACTGGACTGGAAAGGATACGGTATTAACATCAATGGCGAGTACATCACTCACCTTCGATTTGCTGACGATACAGTCCTTACGGCAGAATCGCTGGAAGGCCTAAACACTATGCTCAATGACTTCAATAGTGTTTCCCAACGGATAGGTCTTAAGATGAATACAGACAAAACAAAGATCATGTTTAGTGTCTGTTACGGCCCTCAGTTACCCCGACAAAAGTCGACTGGGCTAGGGACCATAGTAACTCAACTCGACGAGCAACTGAGGGGAGGGCCCAATGGCCTATGGATAATTATTTTTATAACGGCTGCTATAAAAAAACACAAACTTACCGAGTTCCGTAGGTAGGGTCGACCACAAGGTGCCATCAGGGGCAAGTAAATGGTATTTGTGAGTGGTGTAGGAAAGTGTGTAATGTAACATGACGTCACCGATGTAATCGGATAGCAAAACCACATGCGTTGCCCAGCTCCACAAGGCGCAATCACTCCAGTGGGCGTTCCCCGCTATCGGGACTCAAGTCCAACGTCACTTAGCACAAATATAATCGAAGAGAACGCGATCTCCTCCGGATCACAAAATTTAGCGTTCAACCGACAAAGCAAAATTCCTTCGTACGATATTAAATTAGTATACAAGACACTCGTCGACGCAAATTAATGTCAATCGAAGTTAATCATTCAAAATTCACGGAAAGCCTCGTTGTCACGAATACGTACAAAATAAGACAACACAAAGGAGGCCGACACGGCCGTCGCGTACAATCGAATATTCTAGACAAATTTCGCGACCGCCACCGGCACGGCCGTAGCGCACCAAGTTTCTACCAAACTAGACTCGATAGCAGCGCCGTAGGCGCAAAATGAATGCCCACCCCCCCCAGCGCAACCCGGTTCCTCGCCCTAGACGCGCGCCTTGCAAGTTTCAAGTCGCCACACTTTGGCGTAAACAGTGTCCATGTAACGATCAATAAAAACCCGCGTTAAAGAACACATGGCTGATGTGAAGAATCAATGCTTTGGAAAGTCTGAAGTCTGTGAACACGTACAAGATCGCCCCCGTCACTAGATCAGATTTAATAGACCACAAATTCTCGCTAAAGGGAATGAATGGGTGCTATTCCTTCCAAGGATGATACGCGAGGCTATTAAAATCAAAAAACTATCCTTACTTCAATAGAGATGATGGCTGGGTACTACCATCTGCTTGAGATCCCATAAATAATAAAATTAAATCCCGACTTAAGCACACTGCAAGACTTCAAGATACTGTAAGCTCATTCTGCGTAGATCGAACCAATAATAAAAAAACATATTCAAAAACTGAAGGTAGCCGGGCTAGTTATGACATCGGGTCGTGAAACACCTCGGTCCCCCCGAAACGACGGGAGTTAAAAAAATTAAATTAAACGTGATAAAATCCATAAAGTTAGTTTCATTTATTGTTAAATGAAATCAAATATTAAGTATAAATAGGATTAAATAGGGCAAAATAGGTATAAAATACGACAGTAGAAAACATGACTGCGACAAGAAACTCCCGAGTAAGTACGTTAAGTCAGATGTAATAAATTTTTAACAGTAAAGTTTTTTACGACCCTAATAAGTCATTTCAACAAACTGTAGAATGAGATGTAATTTTATTTGACCAAAATTCTTTTTTAATCTTTATAACAAAACAATTTTCCTGCGTTTCGTAGTTTATGTATGTCCATAAAACCGAATTGAGCCTGAAAAGATAAATAATGACGGAGTAGTTAAGTGATCAGTTTTCTCGACTGCTACATATAGTTTTTGGGAACAAATTAAATTGATGCCAATTTTTTTACACACAAAAATAATCGGCTTGTAACATTAGTTTGGACACAGAGATTATCTTTTATTTCTCGTGTATCAGCAGTCGATGCTTACTATTATCGCATGATCGAGACGCAAGTGAATGTAAATAATAGTTGAATGTAATGAGTTTCTAATTCTTCGTCATCATCATCATCATCGTCATCTTTATGGTCATCCTCATCGTCATCAACATCAACACCGTCATCATCATCGTCATCGTCATCATCATCGTCATGCAATGTCATCGTGATCGTCATTGTCATCGTCATCGACATCGTCATCCCCATCGTCATCGTCATCGTTATCGTCATCGACATCGTCATCCACATCGTCATCGTCATCACATCGTCATCATCATCATCATCGTCATCTTTATGGTCATCGTAATTGTCATCGACATCAACATCGTCATCGTCATTATCATCGTCATCGTCATCCTCATCGTCATCTTCATCCTCAGCGTAATCGTCATCATCGTCATCGTCATGGTCAACGTCATCATCATCGTCATCACCATCATCATCATTTTCATCATAATCATCATTGTCATCGTTATCGTCATTGGCATCGTCATCGTCATTGGCATCGTCGTCTTCATCTTATCATCATCATCATCATCATAATCATCATCATCGTCACCGTTACCGTCATCGTCATCGTCATCGTCATCGACATCGTCATTGACATTGTCATCGTCATTGTCATCGTCATCGTCATCGTCATCGTCATTGTCATAGTCATCGTCATCGTCATCCTCGTTTTCATCGTCATCGTTAACAGACATAAGATTTCAGGTGAGATCGGAGGGTTTTTGTAATCTTTTGCGACGGGTTTTGCAGAAATTAGCTCCAAGGGCATAGACAGTTTCCATGAGCTTGTCGTTCATATTATCCACTGTCTTGCAGTCTTTTAAGCATTGGAAACGGTTTTGTAACTCGAAATTAAAGTTTTCGGGACTTTGGATTAGAGTACGGGGAGAACGGAGCGCTGACTTCATTAGATATGACCTATCTAACTTCACGTTTTGGTTCAGTGTATCTCTCACCATTCTGTGATCGCTGCCAGATTTCACCCTCGCGATCACTAAGACATCACTGAACAGTTGTCATTTGG